ATATATATATATATATATAAACAATATTTTTGGAGGAGAGAATCTTTTCGAAAACAGGGCTTGAGCTCAGCCTGCTCGGGTGAGTATCCGCATCCCTTTACAACCAAGATAATCTGATTTAATACAACAAATATATTCAATATTAAAATAATCTAATAAATTATTGTGTTAAGGCTCACTTATGTGGCAGGGCGAAATAAAATAAGCTTACTTTTTCTTTTACGGAAGTTTATGTTTGGGGACTGGTTACGTGGGCTCAATCACATTATTGGTGATTTATCAATTCAATAGTAAGAGACTGGCAAAATTGTTGGACCACTGCCCTGGGCCCCATATGTTGTTGCAGACATCCAGGGGAAATCAGGGGTAGAGGCTCTGCAGGGTGGAAACTCTCCCATCACACACTGACCTGCCAGGAAAAAAAACACGAACAGGAATTTCTCTGCAGAATTATCCATATGTATGAATTACAGTAGATGCCGTTCTGACCATTTGTCACATATTTATATTTATAGGATTTAGACTCATCTGACTGGGAGGAGAGATGGGCAGGTGCAAAATCAAGTGGAATCAGTGAAGCGTTGGTTTGATAGAACAGAGATAGTGAAATGGACACACACACACACACACACACACACACACCGGGGGAGTCGATATAATATTATTATAAACCGAATTATACTCTGGATTATATCTTGGATTTTTTTTCTTTTTAATCCAGGGTCGAAGCTGTGTTTAAACTATTTTTCTATCCAAAATTGCAAATTACCGTTCATTAAAACACCTCAACCCTTGTGTTATAAACTAATAAACTAAATTATAAAAAACATAATTATGAATATAATGCAAATATAATAATAATTAGTAGTAGTTATTGAAACCGGAAATATATGTTTTAATGTTGACATTAGCTTCTTTTTATAAAGATCAGATTAGATTTTTTTTTTTATTTAAACCGACGTTTACTTCCTTTCCCGCGGTCTTGTCCAATCAATAAAACGCAATTTAAAATAAAAAAGGTTTTTAGAAACGGACTGGTTCACTTGCCGACGTTTTATAGTGGAAAGAAATTATTTTTTAGTTAGTTTTTAGTTAGACAGAAGAAGAAAAAAAAAGAAACAAAAAGTCTTCACACTTGTGTGAATGCTCTGATGTCTGAGTGTGAGTGCAGGAATTTAAACCAACGTTGCCGGTTTGTGTTTGATCCGGTCCTGAAAAACACCAGTCACTGTAATACATCCCTCTCTCTGTGTCACCGAGGTCAGGGCAGTTTTTAGTTTCCCCCTCCCCAGGTAGAGAGGACCAGGTGAGAGCCACACTCCTGATTTGGTTTACTGCTCCGTAACCTTTCACACAGCTCAGCCTGGCCTGCACGCGTCTGGCACGCGGATTGAAGGGATGCGCACGGAGCCAAGTCGCTAAATGTCTGAGCAGCGGCAGCAAAGCCAGGGACCACTAAAGTCGACCACCATCACCAACCCCGGTGCCAGCTGCGCCACGTGGCAGTCAGGCGGCCCCTGCCAAAGTGGCCCTTGTGGGAGGGACCCGGTATTTCTTTCCTAATTCACTCAGCATCTGTTCATTATTCTCCTAGCGAGGAGTAGAGAAAGGGCGGTAAAAAAAAAAAATTAAATTAAACTGACCTGGGTTGTCGTTTTCAAAGGTGTTAATATAATCAATATTTTTATATCAATTATAATAAGAATACAAATTGTATTATTCTAATAATAGAAATAAAAGGGACAGAAAATACCACAGCCTGTAAACCTTTATAATAAACTTCCTATAAATATTAAATGTATTCACAATTTCTTACATTAGTAAAATATAATTTTCCATAGTGTAATAAACGTGTTTCTTGCGGCTTTAATTTAGTTAATTTTGCAGCTCTATTCAAAAAGGCTTTATCTGAAGGGCGGGATTAAGGGGCATAATTCTATCATTTGAATTATCTGCAGTTCGGATTGGCTCTAATTGTTCAGATTAAGGTGAATAAAATCCTTTGTAATTTGTGTAATGAAATAATCCTCCTCCGAACAGCGGTCAGTCCGTCTGTTCCCTGTGATTTCTAAACTGATCCAGTGACCAGAACAAAGCAGGTCCTGCTGCACACACACTGTAAACCTCCATCTGGGCACCTGCACTGCCGTCCGTCAGATTAGGAGAATATTTGTTGGATTATTTCATGTAGGTCAATATTACTTCACGATTAAAACATTTTGGTTCATGAAGACCCTCGTCTCAGTGGTCATCTGATGTCACTGCTCGGACCCTCCTATCACGACCGCCCTGCCCGTCAGCTCTGAGAACTGGCGAAGGATGAAATTCCACTGCATTTTTTTTTTTTTTTTTTTTTGGAGTAGTCATGCATCACAGAAATTCTCCAGGAATTAAACACAGAAATATTAAAGAATTGATTATGAGATTTTGGGTGACATTTTATTCTTGGCCTTTATTCGGTTAAGATCGGTTAAAAGTTTTGAAACTGCGACGTGTCTGTGAGTGTCATCTGATCCAGGAACACGTCTGTGATTTTATTTATTTTTGTCTGCATATGTGACATACCTGCAAGAGGTGTGAAAACAATGAAAACATGGACCGCTCTTTCTCTTTCTCACACACACACACACACGAACACACACACACACAAACCTTAAGCATGACAAATCTTCACTCCTGGGCTCTGCGGTGGGCTTTTACCCAACAGCGAGTTTGCAAGTGGTTTTGTGTGTGTTTGTCTGTGTGTATTAGTATGTGTGTATGTGTGTATCACCCAGTCTGTGGGGTATAGAGGTTGTTGTCACTGTGCACAGATGGTAAGAGAGTTTTTCTTTTTCTTTTTTTCAATGTATTTATTTATTTATTTATTTACTTTTTGGGAGGGAGGGCCGAGGCAGGGGAGGAAGAGGGGACACCGAGAGAAAGAAAAGATGAGAAGAGATGGAGAAAAAAAAATGGCTGCGTCTCTGATGCTGCCATGCCACGGTCATGCGGGCAGCAGTAATTGGCCTCCATATTGAGGGGTTTTGAGGAGCTGCGGGGTGGGCAAACTCCCAGCTGGACCTGTCAGATGGTGTTCACTCCAGCTCATTGCCCTCGCTCCTCTGCTCCTTTCTCCTCTCCTTCCCTCTGTCTCCACGTCTTCCCTTGCAAGTTTGTTCTTTATCTTCCTCCCTCTCTCACTGCCCTCCTTCACATCCTTCCATCTCGGATTCATCCCACACGCAGACTTACACCCAGCTTCTTCCTTTCTTTGATCACATAACTGTCCTCTCTTCGTTTTTTTTTCCCACCTTCCTCTCCCGGCATATCACCCTTTTCCTCACCTTTTTCTTCTCTCTTTTTTTGCAGTTTCTTCTCACCGTGGCACATGGTCATGTCAGTGTAATGCATTTTACAACTTTTTAAAAGTACATCACACCCTCACTTTTGCTGGCTGCTCACCCACACGGACACAGATACTGTACATGAAGGTCGTGTTGTCTTTAAGAACACTCAGACACTCAGCTTAGTGCACCGGTGTCCTTGTAAGGGTCCATACGAGATGCAGTAATGGAGTGTACTGAAAAGATGACAGCTGACAACTGGTTATTGCGCAATGTGTTTTTTGTTTTTTTTACTGAATCCATCCATCCACCATTTATGCCTTCTCAAGGTCATGAGGAAACTTAGGACCACTGGAGAGAGAACCATTCACACTCATATTCACACCTGTGTTCAATTAAGGGGAATGATTAACCTAAACCTGTTCATGCAGTTGAAGAGTAGATCTTCATGCTGAATGTCAAAATATAAGGGTGTTAGGTGTAAGATAGGGATGTCTGATATTAACTTCTCGCTGATATCCGATATGCCGATGCTGTCCAAATATTTGATTTC